CCCCCCCCCCTCTCTCTCTCTATCCACCCTATTGGCTCTGTTTCTCTAGAAAACCCTAATACAGTCAACACATTCTAACGTCAGATCATTAAAAAATATTCCTACAGACCTATGAGTTTTCCAGGAGAAAAATCCCCTTTTCAATGGCTTGGCCATGCAGAATTCATAAAGAACTATGGGTCTTTATTGCCAAGAGAGAAATTGAATTTCAATGTTGAAAGAATTCCAGTGCTCAGATACTCCATTTATGGAAGATGTGTGCTACGCCAGTTTGCTTTATAATTCTAATACAGTGACCGAAATTAAATTTTTTTTTTTATCGTAACAGCATTATTTGATGGCGACTTACGAATGAGGATAACCAAGAGGCCCTTGGAAGCGAGTGTTGTGATAAATCAAACAAGGTAATATCCAGGGCGATCGGGAGTGACCGAATTTATTGATGAAAGTCCACCCCGAAGGAAGATCCTTCCTTCTTGCGGACACTGCAGAGAGGTGGGCTTCTGTACCCAGCACTGGCTGTGGGTCCAGATTTTTCTCCCGGCCGGGCACCGCCACCCTACTCCTCTGGAACCTCTGTCCTCTCCGGGTCCTGCCCAGCACCAGTGCTAAATGCACACCTTTTCTACCCTCAACTCCACCTCGCCCTTGACGCGTCCTGTTTCCTTCTGTCCAATAGAGGCGGCAGGGTGGGGCTGTGCCTTCTCTGGCTGCCACACGTCTTGGGTCCCTGTGTCAGGCTCCGCCTCCCATGCCATCCACCCCCCAGTGTGGACTCCACAGCTCCTACCCAGAAGCTGTTTTTCCATCCTAGGAGCTGACCTCATTGTTCCTGGGGCTGGAACCATCTAGAAGGCAACACTTGCCAGTTTAGGAGTTTATGCACTTTTGTGTTCGTGGCACAGGAGGAACCAAGCCGTACCATTGTCTTTTGTCATAACGATGGCATTAACAACTTCCTCTTCTTGCCCCTGAGCATGAACATGGCTGAAAACACATCAGTGTGCCCTGAATGTCACACGGGGACGTAGTCTGCAAATTCGCTAGTTTCGGAGCCCTGCTGTCGTTGGTAAAAATTGCCAGAATGTCCAGACTCGCTTCCTGTACTTGCGGCCCAGCGTGACATTTTGGCTCAGTTGAGCCCGTCATGGGTTGCCACACAAACATTGTCGGGAGCTGTCATTTCCTGGCAGGGGACAGTTATCCCACATCGCCCCGGGACGCTCTCACAGTGTCCTCCCGGCCCCAGCCAGTCCTCAAAGAGCAAAGGTGGAGCCAGAGTCAACCTTCTGGAGAACGCGGGCAGGAACAAAGTGTGGCTTATTGGAAAGAACACCTAATATGTCCCCGGAGCAGGGCTACCCTATTTTGCTAATAGAGGAACTGACCTCCACCCACTCACCACCTACTGGTCCCAACCCTACATGCATCTTCCTGTGCCTCCCCTGACACCATGAGGTGGGGAAGGTGACAGCAATTCTATGTTTTCGTAATCGCTGACCAGCCTGGCCACACAACAGTGCCCATTAGACACCACTGTATACTCTCAGCTGCCCAGCTAATCAGCTACCTGCCTAGAATTTTTTCTACTCCTATGACCTTGGCCAGAGCTCTAGCTTTAGGTAACTCAGTTTCCTCGTTATTGTTACTCATTTGTTTATTTCAGAGAGCTAGACCATTGTGTGGGGGAGGGGCGGAGGGAGAGAGAAGGTTCCAGGCTTAGTGTGACTGCAGGCTCCATCCACCAAAGTCTGGGATCATGACCTGAGCCGAAATCAAGAGTCAGACACTGAGCCCCCCAGGTGCCCCTCGAGTTGTTTTTTTTAATAATAGGAATTTAAGTGTAAGAATGAGATAAAGAGTGAACAGTTTCATTCAGACTTGGTTTTAGAAGGATGAGATTTAATGCCAGTAAATAAATGATGTGGACGTTCCTTACTAAAAAGGACTAATTGATCTTTACATATTTGAATCATTGCCCTGAAACAAAAATGTTATATAAAGCGAGGCTGGTCTTTTGTCTGCTTGCTTGTCGGAGAGGAGGACCTTTGAGATAGCCATTTTTTTTTTTTTTTTTAATCCCAAGGAAGAAGAAGAAATGAATGAACAAAGAGGCTTGGGGCTTGGCTCCCTCGAGGTTGCATGTTCAGGGGGCACTGAGGGTGGACAGTGGGGAGGCTCAAGTTTTCCAAAGTTTGGGCTGTGTTCTTTGTTTTTTAATGTTTATTTATTTTTGAGAGAGAGAGCGTGCAAGCAGGGGAGGGGCAGAGAGAGGGAGACTGAATCCAAAGCGAGCTCGGCGCCGAGCTCGAACTCACAAATGGCAAGATCATGACCTGAGCTGGTCTGCCGCTCAACCACCTTAGCCACCCAGGTGCCCCCCCCTTTTTTTTTTAATTTCTTTTTTAATGTCCGTTTATTTTGAGAGAGAATCCCAAGCAGGCTCCATGCTGTCAGTGCAGAGCCCCACGTGGGCCTCGATCCCACGAAGCAGGAGACCATGACCTGAGTAGA